TTGTCCCTCCGTGTCCCCTCCCCGTGTGCCCCCAATGTTCCCCCGTGTCCCCTCCTCGTGTCCCCTCCCCGTGTCCCCCCAATGTCCCCTCGTGTCCCCCCGTGTCCCCCCGGTGTCCCCTCCCCGATGTCCCCCGGTGTCCCCCGGTGTCCCCACCCTGGCCAGGAGCCCCTCGCGGAGGGGGCGGGGCAGCAGGAGCCGGAAGGCGACATCCAGATGTCCCTGGAGCCGGGCCACCCTCGGCCTGTCCTGCAGCCACGGCCGGCCTGGGGACACCACACGGGTGTGGGGACACGGACACGGGTGTGGGGACACCACAGGGGTGTGGGGACACGGACACGGGTGTGGGGACATGGACACGGGTGTGGGGACACCACAGGGGTGTGGGGACATGGACACGGGTGTGGGGACACCTTGGGGACACCCTGGGGACACTTTGGGGACACCTTGAGGACACCCTGGGGACACCCTGGGGACACCTTGGGGACACCTTGGGGACACCCCCCCGCCCATCCCGCTTTAGGACGAACCCCGCGGCTTTGGGGCAAACCCTCCCTGGGGAGCCCGTGGGGAGGGACACGGGGACACGGGGACACGGGGACACGGGGACATGGGGACACGGGGACACGGGGACACGGGGGCACGGGGACACGGGGACATGGGGACACGGGGACACGGGGACACGGGTCGGGGACAGGGTTTGGGGACAGGGAATGGGGACACGGGAGAACAGGCGGGTGGCACGGAGGGGACAGCAGGTGACACCGCGGGGACAGGAGGTGACACGGAGGGACAGCAGGTGACACCGCGGGGACAGCAGGTGACAGCGGGTGGCTGACCGGCGTTGACGAGCAGCAGCGCGCTCAGCAGGGCCAGCTCGCTCTCGGAGCAGCGCAGCGAGCTCAGGCTCTGCGCGAAGTCGAAGACGGACGCGACGAGCTCGGGGCACCCTGGGGACAGCCCCGCGTCACCTCCTGTCCCCGCCGTGTCCCCGCCGTGTCCCCGCGTGTCGCAGCCCTACCCAGCGAGCGGAAGAGCTCGGGCCCGGCCAGTTTGCCCTCGAACAGGACGGAGCGGGTGGCGGCGTCGAAGGCGCGGGACATCCGGACCAGGACAACCTCCATGGCACCTGTGTCACCCCCGCGGGGCGGCGACAGCGCTGCTGGCACCGGCGACAACGCCACCGCCACCGGGGGATGCGGCCGGGCCCCCGCGGGGGTGGCCCGGGGCGGTGTCACCTCCGCAGGGGGAATGGAGGGGACTTTGGGGACTGTCACCTCCCCGAGGGACACACGGGACTGTCACAAGGGGTCAGGGTGGCCCTGGGGCTGGGGACAATGGGTCAGGGTGGCGCTGGGGACAAGGGGGTGGAGTAGCCACAAGTCTGGGAATAAGGGGACAGGGTGGCCCCAGAGTTGGTGACAATGGGACGGGGTGGCTCTGGGGCTGGGGACAATGGGTCAGGGTGGCCCTGGGGCTGGGGACAAGGGGTCAGGGTGGCCCTGGGCTGTGCCCCAGCGTGTCACTGGGGTGGTGACAGTGACGGTGGCCGCGTACCCGCCTTGAGCAGGACGATCTGGTCGTGCTGGCTGAGCTCCAGGAAGCCGCGCAGGCGCTTGGCGAACTCCACCACGCGCTCGATGGCCTCGGTGACACGGCGGGCACAGAGCTGCCACATCTCCGCCATGGGCTGTGGGACCGGCCGTCACCCCTGTGCCACCCCTGGGGACAGCCGTGTCCCCTGCCCACCCCGCACCTGGCTCTGGTAGGCGCAGATCTCCTCGCGGGTGAAGGTGGCCCAGCGGTGGCCCTGCAGCTCCTCGGCGCGGGGGTGGCACGTGGCACGGTGTGACAGCAGGACACTCTGCGTCAGCAGCTCTGAGGGGACACAGAGGTGGCACTGTGTGACAGCAGGACACTCAGAGGGGACACAGAGGTGGCACGGTGTGACAGCAGGACACTCAGAGTGGACACAGGTGGCACGGTGTGACAGCAGGACACTGGGTCAGCACACAAAGGGGACATGCAGGGCTTGGGGACAGGCATGGGGACAGCGAGGGTGACACGGTGTATGGCCTTGGGGGGTGAGGGGTCACTGGTGTGAAGCATCCACAGGTGACAGAGCCAGGTGCCACCACCCACAGGTGACAAAGCCAGGTGCCACCACGACCCAGCATCCATCAGTGACGGAGCCGGGTGCCACCCCCATGGAGCACTCGCAGGTGACATCCCGAGGTGCCACCACCCACAGGTGCCAGCCCCGTGTCCCACCACCCCCGCCCGAACAGGTGACACTGCCAGCCCGGCAGCTGACACCGCCAGCCCCGCAGGTGACACCGCCAGCCCCGCAGGTGACACCGCCAGCCCCGCAGGTGACACCGCCAGCCCCGCAGGTGACACCGCCAGCCCCGCAGGTGACACCGCCAGCCCCGCAGGTGACACCGCCAGCCCCGCAGGTGACACCGCCAGCCCCGCAGGTGACACCGCCAGCCCCGCAGGTGACACCGCCAGCCCCGCAGGTGACACCGCCAGCCCCGCAGGTGACACCGCCAGCCCCGCAGGTGACACCGCCAGCCCCGCAGGTGACACCGCCAGCCCCGCAGGTGACACCGCCAGCCCCGCAGGTGACACCGCCAGCCCCGCAGGTGACACTGCCAGCCCCGCAGGTGACAATCTCCCGGCGCCACTCACCGATCTCCAGCCCCGCGGGTGACTCCGGGACGCCGCCGGTACCGGGGTGAGGGGCTGGCGCTGTCCCCGCTGTCCCCGCCCTGTCCCCGTCCTGTCCCCGCGTTGTCGCCTCCTCCGCGGGCCACGCCGGGCTGGGACACGTCGCGGGGACAGCGGGGGACAGCGGGGGACAGCGCCCCGCCGGGGGGGGCTCCGGGGGACCCTGCTCCTCCCGTTTTTCCCGTTTTTCCCGTGTTTCCGGCTGTTCCCGCTGTTCCAGCTGTTCCCGGTTTTCCAGCGGTTCCAGCTGTTCCCGGTTTTCCAGCGGTTCCAGCTGTTCCCGCTTTCGCAGCTGTTCCAGCACCTCGGCCTGGAGCCGGTCCCGCTGCTGCTTGGACATGCGGCCGAACTTGACGGCTGCGGGGACAGCGGGTGACGCGGGTGACACGGGTGACACCCCGGAGCGTCCCGGCCCTTCCCCACCGACACCTCGGGCTGTCCCCAGGCTGGCGACAGGTGGCACCGGGACAGGGGACAGGTGTCCTGGGGTGGGGACAAGGGTTCTCAGGGGAGGGGACGGGGGTCTCCAGCTTTGGGGGACACCCGGGGCAGGTCCGGCTGTCCCCAGGGGCACAACCTGGTGTCCCCAGGCCCGGTGCCTGGTGTCCCCAGTGTCACGGGGTCACGGGGCGGTGTCCCCAGGGGATACAGATGTCCCCAGGGTCACGGGGCGGTGTCCCCAGCGGGTACAGCTGTCCCCAGGGTCACGGGGCAGTGTCCCCGGGGTCACGGGGCAGTGTCCCCAGGGTCACGGGGCAGTGTCCCCAGGGGATACAGATGTCCCCAGGGTCACGGGTCGGTGTCCCCAGGGTCACGGGGCAGTGTCCCCAGGGTCACGGGGCGGTGTCCCCAGTGGGTACAGATGTCCCCAGGATCATGGAGCGGTGCCCCCAGCGGGTACAGCTGTCCCCGGGCTCAGCGTGCGGTGTCCCCGGGCCGGGTGCGGCTGTCCCCGCGCTGTCCCCGCGCTGTCCCCGCAGTGTCACACACCGTGGCGGGACATGCCGAGGCTCAGGCACTTCTGCAGGCGGCAGTGCTGGCAGCGCGTGCGGGTGGCGCGGTCGATGTCGCAGCGCTGCCCGCGGCTGCACGCCAGGCTCGGCCCGCGCCGCTCGCTGCGCCGGAAGAAACCCTGCGGTGACAGTGTGTCACCAAGTGTCACCCGTGTGCCACCAGTGTGTCACAGTGTCACCCGTGTGCCACCAGTGTGTCACCAGTGTCACCAGTGTCACCCGTGTCACCCCAATCACACCGTGTCCCCCTTGTCCCCATAATCCCGCACGTCCCCAGTGCACCCCACATCCCCCTTTGTCCCCCACATGTCCCCATGTCCTTCCATATTCCCCATGTCCCCCAATGTCCCCCAGTGTCCCCCAGTGTCCCCTGTGTCCTCCCGCGTCCTCCCGTGTCCCCCCATGTCTCCCCCGTGTCCCCCCGCATCCTCCCATGTCCCCCAGTGTCCCCCGTGTCCCCCCTTTGTCCCACAGTCCCCCGTGTCCTCCCGTGTCCCCCCGTGTCCCCCACAGTCCCCCGTGTCCCCCCCGTGTCCCCCCCGTGTCCCCCCCGTGTCCCCCGTGTCCCCCCCCGTGTCCCCCCCATGTCCCCCGTGTCCCCCAATGTCACCCGTGTCCCCCCCGTGTCCCCGTGTCCCCCGTGTCCCCCGTGGCACCTTGCAGCCCTCGCAGGTGATGACCCCGTAGTGGATCCCGGAGGATTTGTCCCCGCAGATCTTGCAGGGAATCACATCGATGTGAGCTGGGGGGACACGGGGACACGGGCACGGGGTCCCTGTCACCACCTGCCACCCGTGGGGACACCGGCACAGGGTCCCTGTCACCACCTGTCACCCGTGGGGACACCGGCACGGGGTCCCTGTCACCACCTGCCACCCGTGGGGACACGGGCACGGGGTCCCTGTCACCACCTGTCACCCGTGGGTGTCACCTGTGGCTCCACGCGTCCCCTCTGGGACCAGGTGTCACCTCTGAGATCAGATGCCACTTACAGCATCAGGTGTCACCCATGGGACCAGGTGCCACCTCTGGGCTCCTGTGTCACCTCTGGAACCGAGTGTCACCTGTGTCCTCACGTGGCACCAGTGGGACACGTCCCCGGTGTCCTCATGTGTCACCCATGGCTTCGTGTGTCACCGCACGGCCCCACGCGGCCGCTGTCACCCCCCCGTGTCACCTCCCCACTGACGTCCCCCCGTGGCTTCCTGTGTCACCTGCGTGCCACCCACGGTGTCACTGACACTGACTGTCCCCTGTGGTGACAGTGTCCCCTTCGGTCACGGGTGTCCCTGGTGGGCTCCTGCAGCACCCCTGGCCTGGGGTGTCCCCCCGGGGCTCAGGTGTCCCCAATGTCCCCAATGTCCCCAATGTCCCCTGAGACCCCAGCTGTCCCCAATGTCCCCAGTGTCCCCTGAGCCCCCAGGTGTCCCCAGTGCCCCCTGAGCCCCCAGTGTCCCCAATGTCCCCAGTGTCCCCTGAGCCCCCAGGTGTCCCCAATGTCCCCAGTGTCCCCTGAGCCCCCAGATGTCCCCAGTGCCCCCTGAGCCCCCAGTGTTCCCAGTGTCCCCAGTGTCCCCTGAGCCCCCAGATGTCCCCAATGTCCCCGGTGTCCCCAGGTGTCCCCAATGTCCCCAATGTCCCCGGTGTCCCCTGTCACCCTGTGCCGGCGGCTGCCGAAGCCACAAAGCCACAACTGGGACACGGCTCCGCGGCAGGAAACGCGCGGGGCCCGGTGAGCAACTGGGAGCTCCCAGTACGGCCCAGTACGGCCCCAGTACAGCCCCAGTACGGCCCAGTACGGCACTGGGGAGCTCCCAGTACAGCCCCAGTACAGCCCCAGGGAGCTCCCAGTACAGCCCCAGTATGGCACTGGGGAGCTCCCAGTACAGCCCCAGTACGGCACTGGGGAGCTCCCAGTACAGCCCCAGTACAGCCCAGTACAGCCCAGTACGGCACTGGGGAGCTCCTAGTACAGCCCCAGTACAGCCCAGTACAGCCCAGTACGGCACTGGGGACCAGTGCACACTCGGGGGTCTCCCAGGGGCTGTGCACACCCACAGCGGCTCCTCCGCTGCACACGCGTGACACAGCCGGACACGTGTGTGACACCTGGACACGTGTGACACAGCTGGACACGTGTGTGACACCTGGACACGTGTGACACAGCTGGACACGTGTGTGACACCTGGACACGTGTGACACAGCTGGACACGTGTGTGACACAGCCGGACACGTGTGACACCCGAACGTGTGTGACACCCCACACGTGTGTGACACACCAGACACGTGTGACATCCCTGACACGTGTGACACCTGGACACGTGTGACACCTGGACACGTGTGACACCCCAGACAGACACGTGTGACACCCCCCGCCCCCACTTTCCTCCCGCCCCAGTTTTTCGGGGCCGGCGCCGCCCGCGCATCCGGCCCGGGGGGGCTCGGGGGGGCTCGGGGGGGCTCGGGAGGGGCCCGGGGGGTTCGGGGGGGGCCGCGACCCCCGGGGGGACCCCGGGTTTGGCTTTGGGGGCGCTGACTCAGCCCCGCACCCCGAATTACTCAGCCCCTGCCGGGAAGCGCCGCGGCGGGGCCGCTCCTGCCGGGAACCGGCGAGCGGAGGGCACCGGGGGCACCCACGGGAACGGGGGGGAGCGGGGGCACCGGGGGTACCGGGGGCACCGGGGGCACCGGGGGTACCGGGAAATGGGGGGTCCTGGGAGTACCGGGAAACCGGGGGCACCCACGGGGAATGGGAGAACCGGGGGCACCGGGGCCCCCACAGAACCGGGCGGTCCCGGGGGCGGTGGGGCCCCGCCGCAGCCGGGGGTACCGGGGATACCGGGGGCAGTCACCGCACCGGGGGCACCGGGGAACGGGGGAAACTGGAGCTACCGGGGGTGCCCACAGCAGCCGGGGGTACCGGGGGCACTGACAAAACCGGGGGGGACCGGGGCACCGGCGGTACCGGGGAACCGGCGGTACCGGGACACCGGGGAACTGGTTGTACTGGGACACCGGGAACACCACCGCACCGGGGGCACCGGGGGCTGCCGGTAACGCGGGCACCTCCGTCCCACCGGCACCCGCCGCACCGGGGGGACTGGGGGAACTGGGAGTACTGGGAGTACTGGGGCTGCGGGAATCCCCACCGGCACCGGCGGCACCCACCGGGAGCTGCACCGGGAACGCACTGGGACACACCAGTAACGAACTGGGACACACTGGGACACACCAGTAACGAACTGGGACACACCAGTAACGAACTGGGACACACTGGGACACACCAGTAACGAACTGGGACACACTGGGACACACCAGTAAGGCACTGGGACACACTGGGACACACCAGTAAGGCACTGGGACACACTGGGACACACCAGTAACGCGCTGGGACACCCCCTCACCCCCCCAGTCCCCCCAGTCCCCGCACCCCGGGCTCTCACTGGGGCTCTCGATGTCCCCAACCCCCGGGGACCCCCCAGGACCCCCCCACAAAACCCGGCCCGGGCACCGCGACACGGGGGGGACAGAGAGGGGACAGGAGGGGGCACGGGGGGGGCAC